CTCCCTCCCTCCGTCCCTCCCTCCCTCCCTCCTTCCCTCTCTCCGTCTCTCCAAAATTCAATGGAAAAAATATCCTCAGGTTAGGATTAACAACAACAAAATCGTTTTTCACTCTACCAGAGACAGAAAGCTTGGCGAACTGGCTTTTAAATTACCAGCTGGCTGCGACAAAGCTCACTTCCATTTTCATTTTATTTGCCACAGCAAGTTAAATGGTATGCATAATTCTAAGGAGGATGGGAAGTGTAATCCTGTTATGTGTCCAGAAGATTCTGGAAAAACATGGTGTACTACACTAATGACAAGTATGAAGGGAAATTTCCCAGACACGGAGGGGGCGCTCAGCTGCTGGGCAGCCCAAGTACGAGAGGACAAATGTCCACGAGAGACTGTCTTATTTATGTCGTTTCTATATCCTGCCATGCTCCGGCGAGCTCAGCAGCTATTAGCAACATAGTGATGAATGAATTGAATAAAAGGATATGAATATGGTTAACTTTCCAAAATTCACTGTAATTGAAGCTTAAACAGAGATACTTTGCTATTTTAACTCCACACTGCAAAGCATGATAAATATAAGCGTTATTTGTATGCAATGTTGCGTTTGGAAAGCGTAAGTGTTGGGGTGGTAGGCTGGGAGGGCGAGAAGAAAGACGCTTCCCTCCCATACTGCCTTGAATGTGTTCATTTGTTGTTTTCCCCTGGAGTGGGGACATTTTTCTTGCGCCCAGTGCACAGTGTGGGACATGGGAGGTGCCAACGAGAGCAGTTCTGTCAGTCAGCGGTGCGGTCTTGGGGAAGTCACACACACGCTCACACACTCGCACACACACTCACACACGCACACTCACCCACACGCACACACTCACGCACGCGCACACACTCACACACGCACTCACGCGCACACACGCACACACTCACATACACACTCACCCACTCACACATGCACACACTCACACACGCACTCACACGCGCACACACACGCACACACTCGCACACGCACTCACATGCACACACGCACTCACACACTCACCCACACACGCACACACGCACATTCACACGCACACACACGCACACACTCACACACGCACACACACTCGCACACGCACTCACACGCACACACGCTCACACATGCGCACACTCGCACGCACACACACACTCACCCACACGCACATCCACACGCGCGCGCACACACGCACACACTCACACACGCGCGCGCACACACGCACACTCTTAGTGACATCTGCCTTTTGTACTGCAAGGATCCTCTGAGCTGTGCGGAGCAATGCCGTTGTGATAGCGGTTGTCACGGGATTGCCACAAGGTACTCACTCAAGTGGCTTATTGACTTTACAACAGTAAGCATTTGCTCTGTTTTTCATGTGGAATGGCGTGGACAGTAAGAAAGCGTGCGGTGCATTTGGAGAAGTTTGCTCAGGGTGCTGGGGTGGAAACCTGATTCCGATCAAACCCTCAGGATAACATTCAACAGGCGGCGTCCCGACTCTCAAAGGTCAGACGCTCCCCAACCGCCAATGGGCTCCCGCGGCTCGCGGCCC